TATAAGCGGATATCATTGGTTGATGGTAACTGGTTCATTTGGTGAAATCGACGATGGAATTTATTATAAATTATTATAATTTATAATATATTACGTTTCATGCATTATAATAAACTATTTTACTGCACTATATAATATACTATTATACTATATATATTATCACCGCAATGGTGGTCTAACCTCGACTCGAGTCATAGGCTCATGCGTCTAAACATTTTTACTAATTTAACAATACTACAATAGGTATTATTCCATCTCCCGATCTTCGTATTATTGTTTTTCATTATGTTGTGCGACTTGAGGACTCACTGATCGCTGGCCACCCCTACACTCAGTGGCATACTGGGTGAAAGTGTGGCGACTGATGTGATTCACACGGAAGACTTTCGACTGAACGAGCTGGGAGAAGGTCGAAAAAGTTCAAAACTCAAAGGAAAAACCGGAGAAATGAACAAATGACGCTTGGAAATAAAACTCCTTTCAACCCCATCCCAACAACCAGTCCGTGGCGAGGTGTCGTCGCATAGAAATATCTCTATCGGAATACTCTCTGCAAAACGGTAAGTTTAATAATACAGCTTCCTGTAATTATTGTGTATTAAGCTGTAAATTTTTTTGTGCCAAAGGCAAATTGGAGGACAACGACTGCGTGTGCGTATAATCTCCCTGTAATGTGTAATACGTTACGTTACATTTTTGTGTGAGAGACAAATCGGCTGTGGCGGATCCAGTGCTTAATTTTAGCAGTGGGAGGGGGAGTGCAAAACAATTTACAACATCAATACAACAGACATCCACTGTTGCATTACAGTGGAAAGCACGGACTAAAACATAAGAAAACTACGGTGCTTTGGATGGGGGGAGAGGGGAAATGCCCCTTTTTCCCATCTGGATCCATCGCTGCAAATTGGTGGGCAACGGCTGCGTGTATTCTCCCTGCAGTGTACAAAAACCGATGTCCATCGAGGCCCGAGGGGGGAATTTTCGCTTGGGCTCGGTGTAATTACCACAGTGAAAAATTAAAAACAAAAAGCTGTGCGGACATACAAATATATATACCTATAGGTATAGTATACTACGACGTTCCGAGGGCGATCGACGCTATCAGAATATGTCTTATAATAGTTATTGTTTCTGGACATGAATATATTCTACTCTTTGGATCGGGGACGCATTCTCGACGGATAACAGTCGTTCATACCTGTGTATGGTGTATCGTATAGTATTATAATCTCCGTCTCGCAGACCCGACGCCTTCGACGCATTTAGTATTACAAACATACGGTCCATTATAGGTGCCAACTGTACACGCACGACGACAATGTAATAATAATATTCTACACAGGCAATCGAATTGCAGGCCCGAACGGCAGCAGCGTTATATTAACGACACGCTGCTTCGGAGGCGCAGTGGTTTTATGGGTTGTAAAAAAACATATACATTATAAATAAATAAGGAATCTCGAGACTCTGAGGATCTTTTTTTTTATTTCCATCCCGATCCGCGAGCACACACAATGTAAACGTGTTAATTGGTATTTATGGCGCACACGATAATATATTATATAATATAATAATATGTTGTGTGTACATATTATTATTATATTGAGCGGTGGTCTCGGTGTGTGTATGTATTATATTGTACGGCGTGTGACCCATTTAACATGAGACACTCATTATATTACCGGAAAACAGTTTAGTTTTTGGAAAAAATATCTTCAACACAGTTTTTTGAGTCGTTACATAACACAAACATACTGGAAACAAATTTATATTTTTCTAGTTTTTACCCGCTAGTACCCACCTGTTATTTACTCTTTTGAATGCATCAGTCAGTTTTAGTTTCACGTTTTTACGATTTCGATTTGTATAGTATTATAATATTGAAGTAATCCAACGAATATTCTGAATAAGGAATGGTCACTAAAAACACTAAGAATACATTTTGTTTTTTAACGACTTAAGATTGTGCAAAAAATATATATATTATTTTCAAAAACGTTAATGTATTTTTTTTTTTTTTTTTAAATTGCCTTACGTTAAATAAATCATCCGCATAGATCGTATTGTAATATAGATATCGTGTATACCTACACTCGTAGGCTCACACACAGACTGCTGTTGTACCTATCGACCACCCCCACCCACACTTTCATCGCACCCCAACCGGTGATCCGGCAACAAGAGCAGCAGCAGCAACAGCCGCCACTGCAGGTGGAGCTATATCGTGACCCGACGGCGGCGTATAACCATCACTCAAACGGTGGGCTTGGTGCGGTATACCAGACTGCTGGTATAGGTTAGCTGGTTGTATTATAGGTGTACCCATACATTTATTTTAATATTAATATATCATATCGCAGTCACACATCTATTCTGCAGCGAGTCTCACTCGCAGTGTGAGTGGAGCGTGTGCGTGCGTGCGTGCGTGTCTGTCTATATACCTATGATATATAATTGCCATCTTCGTTAGGAAAAAACCAAATAAATAATAATAACAATAATAAAATACCTTCTCGGCGGTGTCCGTGATTGATTTATCGTGGATTTGGATTTTTTTTTTCTTCTTCTTTACGCGCGCGCTCACGCCCACGGCGGGCATCGGTCAATATTTTTTCTTCAACACACACACACACATCCGTATCTACCTCCCCGGCTATAATTTACCCCGTCGAATTGTGACCGGATTATAGGTATATTAAATATATATATACCGTAGGTACTCGTGTACGAGAGCTCACACTATATACGAAAAAACAACGCCGCCGCGCAAGAACGATATATACTACTACGAAGATATTACATATTATTACAAACATATGTATATATTATCGTAAAAACTAATGCGTTTTCCGGCCCGCACAATAGAGTCGTTGCATTTCTTATATTATATTATATTATGTACAGTGCCTGTAGTAACTATACGTATATTATTACGTATTGTATAGGTATAGGTAGGTAATACGCCTAATGAATTATCGTTTCGAGATCGGTTATCGCGGTCTCTTCTCATCCCCCTCCGCACCCCCCGACCATAGCCGTCGGATCGTTTCGTCGGCGTATTTATATATACATATACAATATTATTATATATTATATATTATTGTACGCCGGTGCTCTCGCGCGTGTGACTGGACCTCGCTCATTGTTCTGGACGCGGACGTGTGAATACGTAATGAATCAAAAAACGCGAAAAATGTTGTCTCATACGACCACACGACTATTATAATATTATTATTATTATTATTATTATAGCCACCGCCGCGCCGCCGTCGAGTCATGAAGTGATACCTATAATACGCTAACCGCCTGGCACCGATGATGTTATTTCTCGCGAAGAACGCGACGATTATTCTCTACCGTTTGTGCGCGTGCGCGTAAGTCACTGTTGTATTGTTGAGGCCGAGTTACAATGTTACCCATCGTATGAGTTCGCGTCTCATTTTACTGTATAGCTTGGAATTTATTATGATATATTATGATAGTATACTGTCGTCACCAGTGTTATTGTTATTAGACGATCGGGATGGCTAGCACATCCTACATGAAGTTAAGATTTTTGGAAATTTTCAAGCATGCTTAATATTTTTTATTATAACGACCGTATTTTAAAATACTCAGATTTCTTATTCGATTTAAGAAGCGTCATGTGGTGACACAATTTTTTTTTTTCAAATGAGCACCACCCTTATATTTTATGGGTACCTAAACTATGAAGGAGTTGATTTTTTCGATAAATATGATGAGGTACCATACATATTTATAAATAAATTCAGTATCTGTGTTATTGCACGTTGAGTATACAATAAGGATAATAGCTGTTTTAAAAACAAGGGGTGCCATGCAAAATTAACAATATTTACTTTAGCTCTTAATTGTACTTTATACAATTGTTTCAAACCGACAAATATTGTTAATGCTCATCAATTATTATATTATCGTTATACAGCGTGTCCTATATAATGATGATGTTATATAACCTTTCGGTCTGTGTGTAGATGTTTTTATAAATGTTGGTTTCTGGTAGGTAACGATACCCAGTAAAAGAAAAACAGTCACACACGTGCAAGCAGGTCGTGGAAACCGTTTGCGAGCTTATCGCGTCGTTGTACTTGTAACCTATATTATGATGAGGTATAAACCATAAATGTCGTACCTTATTACGCCACTTTTTATAGTGTTTACGTTACACGTCGCATACAGGGTTGGACTAGCCTCAAAATGTGTACCGGGAAATTCTATTTTTTGGCGGCCCTGCTTCTTTTGACCAGCCACGTAGTTGAACCTAAGGGGACAAGCTCTATTATAAAAAAAAATGTTAGTTAATAGTGAATTATCTAAAAATATAATTTATAAGAAGGAAATAAATATAAGCTCCCCCCTTCAAGAAAAAAAATATATTGTGTTAAGTGTATGACTAGCCTTTGTCATGAGTTATTTATTTTTTAAATATAATACAATAAAAAAACAATTAATATAAATACATTGTCAAACAAAATATAAAAAAATTTCATCAAAGCAGAATACATAAAATATTTAATAAAAATAATAATAATTCTTTGTAGGTAGGTAATATATATTTTTAAACAACCAACATTTTTTTTGAATACTGAGCTATGTTTTATCACTTCCTCAATAATGTTTTCATATGTTAATGTTTCCAAAATATCTTTATTTAAATGCATTAACATCCATGCATCCAGATTTTCCATCGATAGACGGTTTTTAAGTAGGTTTTTAATAAAACTTAAGGTAGAAAAACTCTTTTCACAGCCTACCTGAGTGCATGATAGTGTTGAAATATACATATAGGCTAAAAATAAATTGCTATATGCTTTAACATATAATCTATATTTAAACAATACATTAAAGCAGCAAAGAAAACAATTTAAACACCGTATATTTGTTTTGCATAGGTTTTGTTCAAACTCATTTTCTTGCAAACATTCTAAATCTAATTCTGGAAGTTCATTTTCCTCATCACTTCTATAACTTGCATATTATACTTCAGGTAAATTTAATTTAAGCTTATCCCATTTTTTGGTAAAATCTAGAAATTCTTCCCTTAAAATAGAAGTATTTTCTAATCCAAGAACTTTACTAAGTTTGAAAAGAGCAGTTGTGGGCAATGGTTTTGAAAATTGACGAGGATCTAAGCATGTAAAATCTGAACATATTTCAGCGTGTTTAGCAAAACGTTGTTCTAGTTTACAAATCACTGTATCCATCGTTGTGTTATGAACATTAAATTTAAACAAGTCAATAGCAGTTTCAGTAACAGTTTCATTTTGGTTCTCACCATACAATGTTTTTTTCTAACGTATCCGCACATTTGGCAAATTATCCGGGATCAAATTATTAATTTCATCTACTAGGTAGTTTAATTTTGTTCATAATAATACAATAATTATTTCTGTCCTTTTATCAATTTAAATTGATTTAAATATTAAATTCCATAAAATAACGATTGAAATAAATTTTTTTTTATCAAATTAAGATAACCACCATGGACTCGCGGTCCAATATAATATTATATTAATAGTTACGGCGGTACGCCAGTACGGCCCCTTTTTGCTGCGGCCCACCGGGAAATTTCCCGGTATCCCGGTGGGCTAGTCCAACCCTGGTCGCATATCATTATTGTCAACCGCGAGTGATGTCGAAAAATATAAAAACACATTAAACCGCGTTCTATAGAGTATAATGTATGACCGCGGTCATTATTAAATTTGTCGAACGACATTCGGATGAAATTTAAGTCTAAACAATCATGACACATTGACACATGTGCATGCGTACTAGGTAGGGACTGTATGAAATTTTGTATTGTAGAATCGTAAGTCGCAACGACAAAACTTCGAATACATCGTAGCCGTATGTGCAGATCGATAATTAAATTAAATCGTCATAATTTATTTATTACTTTCTAATTATTACTTGCGGATATGTACGCAAGTACTCTCACTTTTGAATCGAATCGCGTCGACACGTCTCGTCAATGACTAATAATATGAGTCATTATACTCATTACTATAATGACTAAAATAATAATCAACGTTTATATAATAATATGGTATTTTATAATCAGAGGCTGTGGTCAAGAATTTCCTAGAGTTCCTCTTATCCTTGGGTGTTATGAAAAATAACAAGTTTGATGGACAAAATACAATATTACTTGTACTTAATTTCTCACCAAACAAATGTCTAGAATAAGCAAATATAGTCCACGCAGTACAGTATGTTCTTTCACATCATTACCTAAATAATATCACTGCAGGTATATGTTATACCTGTGATTAATAAACATGGTTAATATAATGCGGTTGGTTTAACTACCCCTACAACACCCCCCTTTTTAAGTGATGCATATTATACGGTTATTGTTCAAGTACGCTTATCGGTAAACACTCAAATTCGTAATTTTCTTTTTTTTTAGAATTTAAAAGAATTGAAATGATTGTTAGGTACTGACACACAATTTATAGATTAAAATCCTGGTCGTGGGCCTTGGATCGATACACCCCCCTGTACCACCCCCAGTAAATGTGGCACTTCTCACAGTCTTTCCAATATTGTTTGTTTGCTTTTAGCCATGGCTGTAGTCAACACGGTCCAATATTATTGTCTGTCAACTGTAGATTTGATTCTCTCACATACAACGATTTTTCTTTCCTTCTAGGTTCTGATGGAATTCCATCCGTTCACCCCGATGACGAACCAAACTGAAGATAACTGCATAGTTATCCTACCTATTTTTTTTTAGCAAACATCATTCAAGTCATTCAACTATAATGTTTATGTGTACTAGTAAACATTTATAAGGCTAAGATTAAGTTTTAATTAAGTTTTTTGAACTGTTTTTAACATAACTACTTGTAGTTAATTAATTTTCTAATAAAAATTTCCAACTTAGCAAATTGAACTATGCATTGTCTTAACTTAAATCGGCCCGGTTAATATGAAAAATAATTGGTAGGTATATTCAATTTAGTTCAAGTTTATATCTGTGAATTGTGGTTAAAATGTAATATTAGTCTTAATGGTGTATTCATGCTGCGTATAATTATTTTAAATAAAAATAAACAAATTAAACGTTTATTTATTTCATAACATTTAGCAAACTCTAACATGTAATTTACTGAACCACTTTTATAGGAATAGGGAGTACAATTTATTTTTTAACCTAATGATTAGTTATTAAGTCATAAGCATAACTATTAAGGTGCTTGTTATCGAATTAACTTCTTAACTAACTCGGGTCAGTAAATCTTATTTTCCTACTTACTTCCATTGATTAATGATACACGTCATCATTATTTACTCCGTACGACAGCGCACTGCAACAACAGCGGTGAATAATTTTATATTATAATATATAATTGTGCATCGCGCATTGTAACTACCTACCTATATATTGTAAATTTATAGTTTATAGTTTACACTATCTATAAATATTATCGGTGTGGTTTTCGTCGATCGGAACCACACCTATTCGGCCGCCGCCGCCGCCGCCGCCGTACACGGATTTTATATATACATATTATAATGTTATACATATGGACAATGTCCGTTAAACCGGTTGTATCGGACAAATCCAACAGAAAATCATAATTTTCTTTCACTTGTCATTCACCGGTGGAAAAAAAAACCGAAAAAACTATTATCTTCTATATACTTCGGGACAGTGTTATTTATACTATTCTATTATGTTTCAAGATCAACCGGTGTGCGGGACTATATAATAATAATAATATACATGGGAACGTGCAATCGTGTGGCAGTAGAATAACATAATGAATCATTCGTCTCGAAGAATTCGTTTGGGGGTTTTTTTTTCTTACTCGTCATAAAACAGTCCAGGCGACGGTACAATTCACATAAATCGATCTATGAGTCGTATACCTAAAACTCGTACACCAAATCCGAAGATCGTACCACGTGCTCAAGGAGTGCTCGACACAAACGCCCTTTGTATTAATAGGTTTTGTACTCGATGATAATATAATATAGGTACTGTTATACATTTTCGTTTGTAACTTAAAATATGTTGTGAAAACGTGAACAACTCATTTGTTTAGAATTTCACACCCGTCTCCATACAACCCAGTGACGGGGACATGTTATTTACATATTTTAGAAACCATAATGTTTCAATACACATAAAAACATTTTCCTTGTTAATAAATGGCCCTCGTTGGTTTTGGTTTTTCCAGAGTCGTGATGTTTGAACTATATAAGAAATGATTAAAATTAGTATCAAAACTGAATATTCTTCTGTTTCTTTCAACAATCGAAACCGCAACTGAAACCAAAAAAAACCTGAAAAAAAGGGTCCCGGTGCTATATGTCTGCTCTATATTGTTACCTATGATATTAGTACTCACGCTAATATCTTCAACGCGCACACTTTACTATCATCACGCACATGCGTTGATAACATTAGCTACCTAACCTAACCTAACCGTGGCGGTTCGGACTTTTGACTTTTTTAAAAAGTTTGAAATCTATAATTCACGATGCTCCCTTAGGCAGCCGCAGTCATCATAGTTGGACGCGTTACGATTTGAGGGAAATGTGCTTTCATATTAATATAATATCTCTCACCGGTTGTGTCAACCAGGAACTGGTGTAATAGCAGCATTATGACATCATGACACGAAAACGCATTACGAATAACCGATGCGTGTGTCGGATGTGCACAGATCATTCGGTCAAAAACGACAATAATATTACTTTATTATAATATAGTATGTAAGTATAGATTATACTAATAATATTATTACATGTACCAAATACCTATACCAATAAAATTATACTAGATAGATATAGTTGTACTTTAAAATTACGGTTTAGAGATTTCCAACCGATTCCAGTGACAGGAATAAGTACGCACCGGACCATTATAATATTATTACTAATTTTTTTTCAGCCGCGACTTTATTATTACAAATTTTACAAAGTATAATAGTCCCATCTGTTGTAATGACGTCTCTTCCGAATTCGTTTACGTATTCACGCAAGCTAGAAGAAGTATATGATTTTATTTTGGGCATTATTTAACACACTATTTAACACATTAAAATCACAAGCACACGTAATGACTGATTATTTGTTATTTGACCGAATATGGATGACGCTCCACAGTCAATAATAAATTAAGATAAAATAAAAACTTAATCGAAAAAAAAAAAAAAAACAATGTATATGGAAAAACCCGATAAACCTTCTTAAATATCATGAAAATAATTTATCTTTAGATAATATTTTGAATAGGCTGAATTTTATATCTATATTGAACAAAATATATGCATTAAAAACCAACAAAATGACCCAATAATGCTAAAAATGCTTTAAAAATTAAAAAACATCGAAATATGCAAAAAAATACAAAATAAAATTTGTAGCTTTCAAACTCTCGTTACATGAAACGAATTATGTACTTATAAAGCATTGTGTATGATCAACCAAAAAAATATGCACTTTGCATTGAAATCCGGGCCCCAATTATTAGTATAATAATATTTTAATTCAATTTGTTCGTTTTGTTTTATTAACGATTTTATATTTATACGAATATATTATGTCATTACTCGATATATAGTCATTCGTTTCACTAATATTATGATGTAAGTATTTGAAATGTTTAATATTGACAAATAAATAAATATTAGAAAATCAAATGAATTCGACAAGACGTAAATAGTACGATGAGCCATTTCCTGGATAATCAAAAAACATTAAACCCATAGTTTCGTTATATATGTATATTAAACGGTACGAAACTTTGAACCAAATACTAATTACTCAATCGCTAATATATTATTTGTGATTTAAACTAAAAATGAATTTTGATGTTTTTATGAAATATTTCTGGTTTCAAACACTAACTATACGTAACCATGTATAACGTGTCGTTATACAAATCTACAGACGATGATCTACCTATGTATAACAATATATTTTGATATTAAAACGGTGCATTTGAATAATTATCCTTTTGTCGGAATTACATTACTGTAACGCACGACGAACGATTTCCGTTTTACGCGTTTATATTACGACAATTTACTATTCCGTCATTATTACCATACGTAATAATATACATTAAACGGTGTTGAGTGTTGACATTTTTTTAAATACTAATTAGTAGTTACTTAATCGCTATTATATTATTTGTGATTTAAACTAAAAATGAATTTTGATGTTTTTATGAAATATTTCTGGTTTC